AATTATTTTACGGGATGAGATTTGGGATTAAGAAATTCTACGATAGGTACCCACAAGTTACTCGTTAATACCAGTTTGGATATTACGAGTACCCGTACTACCCGCCCACTCAAAATATATGCGCCATTTCCAGCAAAATAAACCCAAAAAGATAAACTAATGTACAACTAACTAAGACCTATGACCTCTCGCTCAAATCCATTTCCAACGACAACTCATTCATTTCCACCACCAGAACAGGTTTTAACCATGGTAAAGGAAACTTGATCGTACTGGCCGGTTGAACCGGTAAAATCGGAAACCGGAGCTCGGACGACACGGTAGCATGTTTGCAGGCAGAATATCGTGCCGGCCGGTTTAAAAGGTTTAAACTGTTTAAACCGAAATGCCGTCCGGTTTTGGTCTAACCGGAGGCAGGCTATTGGGAAGAGACGTCGTCGTTTTGGAACCAAAAATAAAAACGAGGTTCCAAACTCTAATGGCCTAATCTCTAACACAAATCGAACCAAAGTACCAAACACAGCCGCCACGTTCGTTTTTTCTTCCTATTTCGAAATACTCTTTTTCTTCCGTTCAATCTGTCGCTCCTCCTCTTCTCAAGTTCTCCTCTGGCGACAGGTGACCAGGAACCGCCGAGCCCGTGATCAGGGACCGACGGCGAGGCGACCCGCCTCGATCGGTCGATCCCTGCTTTGCTCCGCTCCACCCACCGCCGACCTGATCTGCTATGTTGCTCCTCTCCGCCAGTCCGCTGTTCCGTTGCTCCTCTCCGGCCTCCGCCGCTCCTCTTTGCCGCTCCGTTGCTCCTCTCCGGCCTCCGCTCCTCCACTGCTAACTGCTCAAGAACATAGGTAAGAAGGCATTTTTCGAAACAATAGAAGCCTATCTTCGGTCTATTCCATAAAAGAAGTCAATTAATTATGAGGCCTCTTGATCATTTGGCAATCTTTAACCTGTTTTAATAATTTTTTCACACACTTCAACTTCTAATATCGGATCCTATTGACACACTTGAACTTCATTATGCCTTCTATGATTGTGCATAGACATACTAGCACACTGTTATCCATTTCCACCTGATTAGCAGATTTCATAGGAAGAGGTTGCATCTTCCAAAATAAATATTTGGTGGATTTGAAATGATTGGTTCTTGCAATAACCTCTATAGATAAAAGCACAGAGACATGGCTGCATTATTTGAATTTTGAACTATGATTATGGGCTTTCCTTTTCGTTCTAGGTTTATTCTAATGAGAATTTTGGCTGTTTTGACAGCAATGGCTAGTGGAGAAGAAGCCCGATCAGTTGATAAAGGAGCAACTCCTAGTAATTCGAAGGTTACCGCAAAGGGTGTACGAAGCAAAAGTGATCCAACTTGGGCTCATTGTTCCTTGCATCAGGATGGAAAAGTGGAGGTACTCACTTGTCTCTATTGTCAAAAAGAATTTAGAGGCGGAGAAATCACTAGAATGAAAAAATATCTAGCTGGTGTTAGTGGGATAATGCAATATGCTCAATGGTTCCGGAAGAGGTGAGCCAAAACATGCAGAAGCTATTGACTAGTTATGAAACTAATAAGAAGAAATCTGAAGTTGTCAAAGCTGGATTTAAAGAACCTCGTGATAGAAATTCTTCTAGTGCACAAGATGATAATAGTGCTAAAAGAGTTGCTCCTAATGTGTCTACGGGTTCGGTTGACACTTTCTTTGCTCCACGGTCATCTTCCGGTAGTCAACCGGTAATAAAGAGTGCCTTAGCAACTAAAGAAGCTGTATTGTATGTGGATCGAGCATGGGCTAGATGGTTCTATGATGCAATGTGTTCCTTTAGAAGCAATTAAATCTCCACAATTTAAAATAGCATTGGATGCTTCTATGACTCTTGGTCCTGGTTATGACGGTCCTACATATTATGCTTTGACGTTTACTTTGTTGGATAGCATTGTGAATGAATGTCACCTATTGATTGAGAGTTTGAGGTCTCATTGGAAGGAATCTGGATGCACTATTATGGCGGATGGTTGGACGGATAATAGACGTAGATCCTTAATCAATTTTCTTGTGTATTCTCCTGCTGGAACATGCTTTGTGAAGTCCATTGATGCTTCTGGTTTGGTCAAGAGTGGAAGGAACTTGTTTAAGTTATTTTCTGAGGTCATTGATTGGGTTGGAGCGGAGAATGTTGTTCATGTGGTGACCGATAATGCTTCCAACTATAAATCGGCAGGGACAATGATACATGAGCATTATGGTCATATATATTGGTCTCCTTGTGTTGCTCATACCCTTAACTTGATCTTGGGTGACATTGGATATATTCCTCATGTTAAGAAGCTTGTTTATCGAGCTACCAAGGTATCCAAATTTGTTTACAATCATGGTCAAATTTATTTCTGGTTGAAGACAAAGGAGAATTAGAAAGAAATAGTGAGACCTGGTGCTACTAGATTTGCTACTACATTTCTGAGTTAGCAAAGTACTTTTGAGCACATGCATGATTTGGAGGAACTGGTGATTAGTGAGTTCTTTAGAGTAAGTGATCTTTCAAGTACTAAGGATGAAAAGGATGTGAAGGCAATTGTACTCGATCAACAGTTTTGGGCTGATTGTGATTTCATTGTTAAGTTGACAGCTCCAATTGTTAAGTTGCTCCGAGTTGTGGATTCAGATAGTAAACCAGCAATGGGGTATGTGTATGATGGGATGACTATGGTGTCAAATGCTATTAAGACTGTTTGTGGAGATAAGGAGGAGATGTACAAACAATACATGGATATCGTTAATAGGAGATGGGATAAGCACTTGAGCCGTGATTTGTTTGTGGCAACTCACTATCTTAATCCAGCTATTAAGTATGCTGATGATTGGACAGAGGATAGGGCGGTTACATTTGGACTTCTTAATCTTCTTGAGAACTCGTCTTTATGTCCTGATAATAGTGTGGTGGTGGCGGAGATGAATTTGTATGCTGAAAAGACAGGAAACTTTGGGAGGAAGATGGCAATAGATTCTGCACAAAAACAACAACCAGGTAATTGATATCATTTGCATTGAATTTCTTCTATTTATTACAATATTTAAGAAACTAACTTCTATGTTTTATATGTAGATAAGTGGTGGAAATGATTTGGCATTGATGCTCCAAATATTCAGAAGTTGGCTATTCGAATTCTTAGCCAAACTGCTGCTTCTTCTGGTTGTGAACGTAATTGAAGTGTCTTTGAACGTGTGCATACCAAAAGAAGAAACAGATTGCAGCATAAAGTGCTTAGTAACTTGGTGTTTGTGAATTACAACTTGCGATTGCAGAATAGGTAATGATTTGAATTATATAACTAGTGTGTTGAATTCATACTTTCTATGCTTACTATTGAATTTAATTATTTTATGTTTTCTACTTTGATTAGGGAGTATTATACCAAGAACAAAAAAGAATCATATGATCCCATAATCCTTGATAGCATTGATTCTACTGTTACTAGTCACTGGGTGTCAGAAGGGGAAGAAGGTTCATCTTCTAGGGAAAAGGAATTGGATATTGATGAGCTGGATCGAGCATTGGAAGAGGAAGGTTTGTTTGTAAATCAATTATGTATGATATGAATCCTAATACTAATAATTGATAATAATTCTTACTTGTTTTCTCTTGTATTGTAGTCGGTGATGAAGTAGACGAAGGGGACGACTTGGAGAATGTAGACTTATCTACATTTGGTGTTGTTTAAAGATATGAAACGTTGTTTGTGAACGTTGTAGTGCTTGCTAGTTTGAGTTTGTGGGAGTTGTGAACTTGTGGTTTGAGAATGTTGTTTGGTTTGAGAATGTTGTTTGAACTTGTGGTTTAAGAATGTTGTTTGGTTGTTTTGTACTCGATCGTAAACATGCATTTGAACGATTATGTAGTTAATTCAGTACTGTTGTAGTTTGTTGATTGTTATATTAAATATGCCTATTTAGTTTATTCAGGTTTGTTATCCGGTATATTCCGATTTTATTCCGAAACGGTATCCTGAATCCGCCGGTACGGTTTTTTAACAAAAAAAATATTTTTTAATTACAAAAACGGTATTTTGCCGGTACACAACGATTGAACCACGGTAGTATCACAAAATACCCTACCACTGACGGATCCGGTATGACTTTCAGTGCAGTTTTCTTTACCATGGCTTTAACTTATACATAAATAAGGAACACAACTTTCAACAGTAAATAAACAAGGTTTACACAATTCTTACTAAACTCTAAACATGGACAATGGGAAAATGCAAGTTGTTTACCAGTTACCAGTCTCTTGTATTTGATTGCATCCCCAGTGAGGTGTTTTAGGATCTTTTTCGTATTTACGCTGTCAAGCTCTCTAACGGAGAAACTCCCAAATAACAATAATCCAAAATTTATGGATTACTCGCGGGTACCCATTATCCGTCCTGTACGGGTAATGAGTACCCGTTAATCCATACGGATTTGGGATATGAGATGAAGTTTCCTCTTTAAATGGGACTGAGTATCCATTTTAAACGGGATGTGTACAATCCCGTCTCGTTGCCCACCCTAAACCAGCTCATAGCCCTAACTCGCTACCTGTACTACTATCCCAACCGAAGGCCAAGTGCACCCTCGATCAGGTGTAGTATAGCGGAATTAAACTTTAGTTATTAATTCGAGCGACAAATCTACTATTACTTCTTGAAATATTTGTTATTTGGAAAATCGAGTTTGGTTTAAGCTATCAACTAAACATGCAAAGGAAATAAAGTATGTTTGATATAAATTCACTCGGGTATGCTTCTCTCTAGCCACATATTAGACCGATGATTGACGTTCTAATCTTTCCCACTCATGATTTATACCGCATAAATTCCTAAACCCGTATGAACTCCCTGTTCCAGTTATCCAAACTCACCTAGGATGAACTATCTAGAAGGAGAGTTTCCACATCCTCCAAAATAGAACACCTAGGGCATGAAATTTAGATTCCCTTTAAAGGGTAATGATCCAATACAATATTGTAGTCCTATATTATGCTCGATAAATTAACCCACAATAAAGAATTGAGAACGTGTTATAATCAACCTAATTGGATATTCTCTCCCATTGGTTAATAGCACAAATAGGAGAGTTCGATCAATACCCAAACCAATTACATGAAATACCTCAATTCAATATATAATCAAGAGTTCGTACAAACAGAGGAATCATTCAATCATTATATACCTAGAGTTCTACCCACCCAAGTGAATATGGGTTCTACTCAATAGTGAGAGAAAGAGGAAAAATCACAAACTCAAGAAGAGAAATCAACATCAAAGTGATGGGTTCTTCTCCTAGTGCCCAATCTTTAATCCTTTGGTGGAAATCTTGCCTCCAATTGGGAACAGAAGCCTTGAATCACCATCTAGTGCTCCTTGTTCGTCACTCTCACTCTAAGAGGCAGCTGCCGCTGTCTCTCTCTAAAACTAGCTCCCTTTGAAAAATGCCTTTAGCTCCTATTTATACCCAAAAGTGTCAAATGGCAAGGTTGAACATAACGACAGTGACAATAATAGGGAAATCGTGACGTCAAACTAAAGTCCACCATTTCGTTTACAAATCTTAGGGTTTCGTTGCAAATGTCATATTTGAAACCTTGACATCTTCAAGCACCCGCGAACTACAGTTTGGTTCTTAGAACCTTGTAATTCTCACGACTTCTTTGTGGAAGTCACAGTCTGGTCGTGAATTTCTACTATACGAACCTTGACTTTCAACAACTTCTTCACTTTGTCCCGGTTTTGACTCCAAATGGCCCGATAATCATTCCTTTCGCCTTATTCACCTTCTAGGACTTGAAATATAGTAAACCAAGCACAACCTAGCATGGAATGGTTTAAAGAACGATTAATCACAAGTCAAACATCAAGGGAAGGAATGTAAATATGTAGAATTAAGCCCGAATCAAACTCTGCCACAGTTAATAGTTTACTCTTCCCCAAACAAACCTAGCTCAAACAGGTGCAACATGATAGACTCTCACAACTTTATACAATTTAGATCGCCGGTAGTGGTGAAGCTAGCAACTTACGAGGTGAATCGTAGTCAAGAAATCATACAACCACCTTGATGTGAAGCACAAACTTAAGTTGGGATCTTCCCAACAGGTGAAGCCAAGACACGTGAAATCAATAGACTCGATGTTGGTGCTCCCACGTAAAAGGGTTCAACTTTCGAGCCTCAACTTACATTGCTGCTCATGGCATCACACTTGTAGTTTCGCGAAACAAGGGCTCTACCTCCTGGCTAGGGCGAAAACGACATCCACTTCTTGATGTAGCCCATGTGAGGAACAATGCACATGACAAGGTGTTTGGAACACTCAATCTGAAAATTTGGGCAAAAATTTAGTTCCAAAACTCTCAATGTAGGCCAAAAGACAATCATTCATCAACATGTGCTTGAAACACTAAATTTTTTGAAATGTGTGCCATAATCATGGCTTGATAACACCTAAATTGGTGTTATTTACCCTTCATATTGGGGTTTATTTAGTGTAAATTCATGTGCATAATCGTCTGAATAGCGTCGATTGTTGTTAACACCTAAATTGGTGTTATTTACCCTTCATATTAGGGTGCTTTAGACAATACATGCGAATTAGGTACATAAAAGGACACAAGTGAAGAAAAAGGGGCAGAATGTTGATGATCGTGTCTAGAGATGGAGATCACAACCGAGAACAAAGACGGCGAACTCAACGAAAGGATCGCGACCACGATCTTGGATGTTGAGGGCGCGAACTTTGTGAAGAAGCCAACGAGGAGAAACAAAGAGTTTTCCCAGTTCGTTCACGACCACATTTCATATTAACTGCGAGGAAGTTCGAGGCCGCACTTCACGGATCACAACTGTGAAGTAAGCCCGCGAATTCCTCATGCCTGAAGGCCAAAACAGCGTCGTCGGCATATCACGACTTGGCGGGGGAAGATCCGGCCGCGAACCTCTCCATCCTCTAAAGGCTATAAATAGAAGACCCCTTTCCCCCATTTAAGATAGAATTTATGGTTAGAGAGACAAGAAGAGGGAGAAGCTGAAAGAAGGAGAAGAGAAGGAGGAGCTAGAAGAGAGGAGCCATCTTCCTCAACATCAAGTCTTCCCCAATTCTTCTATGTATATTCTTTCCTCTTTTATGAAGGTAGTGTAACAACCCATCTTTAACCAAGGCCCACAAGAGATTTTCCTACCAAGCGTCGCTTTACGAATTGAAGGAGGAGCTACTTGGCCCACGTGCAACTCATTGCAAGAAGAAAAGGACCGACATGCCAACATCGGTTAAATCATCTGTTCATGCCCTAGATTTCCAAAAGCTTCTAACGATGGACAAAAGTTAAGAGAAGAAACAGAAAAACAAAGGACAACAAACAACGGAGGACTAAAATTAAGAAAACATAAGTTTTCACTTCTATTTGAAGGGTAAGTTTACACAATTATTTTCCACCCTTTTTCTTTACCCTATTAATGTTTTAACTCTAAAAGAATCAGGAGAAAGCTTATAGGGAATTTGTGCTTTCTCTCTAGCTGATAAACAAAATATAAGCGAAATGGACACAATGATTTATGTGATTTCCTTGTTCACGATGGACAAGACAAGTCAACAAGAAGACTCGGTATCTCTTGTTTTCTTATATCTCCATCGTCACACACACATGTATATACATGAATTTCGACTAACTATGAAACTCTAACTGAGTTCCCAATGAAGTCCTTTCTCGGTGTACTTGACATGGGCCGAGACAACCTATGGGCCAAGCCCTATAAAATCTACATGTACTTGTATGCTATGTGAAAGGAAGTGGTTACAATACGAGTAGTAATTCCATCCAAACGACCCTTGAGTGAAAATGGCACAATCACAAAACATGGAATGAATGAGTTATCCAATGGAGGCTAGAGAAGGGTCCATAAAATAAAATTCAGCTCACCACATGAGTTCGACTTGCCTAACACACAAGGACGAACATTGGTCTCATAAAATAAAATTCGGCTCACCACATGGGTTCGACTTGTCTAACGCACAGGGACGAACATTGGTCTCGCCTTGTCCAGTTTACCTAGGACAAGTCTGGCACGGATACTCGATATCCCTACCCGTCCTCTGGCAAGTCTGGTCTAGATCAAGTAATTTATCATGAAGCGTGGAAGGAGAACATTTCTTTTATAAAAAGAATCAAACCATAAGATTAATGTAGTTAAATCACTGGAGTAATTGACTTTTTCACTAATTTACAAATTTATTATAGCTAAAAATTTATGTAATTAAATAAAAATTCTAAATAATTTGACTAAGATTACATGTGATTTACCAATCTATCTACGATAAAAAAAACTCACTTGTAATTGCGGGACAGATCGGGACAGGGCAGGTCAATGAGAGTGCCCATGTCCGCCACAACCCACCTATTGGATTGTCGGACCCTCCCAAAACAGGTCAAACATGTCAGTCAGGTAAAGCAGGTCAGGTCGAAATTGTATTCCCCAAATCACTTGCAAGCCGAAATTGTCCATAGTAGTTCGCGTCTTGAAAATAATAGAGAGAATATAGATTTGGGCAGTTGTTGCGATGAGCAAACTAAAGGAGATCACTGCTGCATCCATAAGAAACATTGCTGACCAAAGGAGAGCAATACTTACCAGGGGGTTCAGCTTGTTCTAAAAATGACTTCATGGCATGCTGCCTTAGGGTAGAGACAAAATGAGGAGTTCCCACAAATGCCTTTGTATGGACACTGAATAAACCATCTATTGGGACGAAATGCCATTTGACATTGATCGACACCAAGACAGTGAAACATAATGCAATACTTTGCTGCGTTTCGAAAGCAAAGAACTCCTGGCTGGCACCACAACTCAAGATCAATCCTAAAGCAAAACCAGACCAGTTCACCAAAATCAGTTAAAAGTGCAGTAAGAGGGCATTACACAAGCCACTGCCACAAGTTCAGCAAGCATAAAGAGCTACGCAGCAACTCTGTCTGTATTTCAGAATTAATAGGAAACTACGGATGAGATTAGCCAGACCCAAAAATCGTGCACAAATAAGTCGAACTGGCTTGCAATGTAAACCTGAAGAAACAAGCAAGCAGATTCATTCAACCTCATCTCCGATTCCGTATTCCTCCGTGAACGATGTTAAAAACTAAGCATCAAAACTACAGAGACAAGCTGAGAGAAAGGGGACAACAATCTCACTAGTTAATTCAATAACACACAAGCTGAACATTAGAGCAAACCCGAAATTCAGCAGTAATACATCCGAGCAAGAGCGGAATTCATTATCTAATCTAATTGAGTTAGTAATTCAGTCTACTTATCTTTGGTGGACACTCCGTATTTCTCCTGCATCTTGACAATCTCATCTTCCTTCTTCTTCTGATCAAACTTCTTGCTCATCTTGGCCTGCTGGTAATACAGAACGATGAGGTATCTATTGGCGACGTTGAAACCAGAGAGGTGATCCACCGCCGTCTTGGCGTCGTAGATGTCCTCGTAGACCACGAAAGCGGTGCCTCTCGTGTCCTTGTTTGTGCCGATCCGGATCTGGCGAATGGCTCCGAACTTGCCGAAGATATCGTACATCTCCTCGCTCGAGATGTTGAACGGGAGGTTGCGAACGTAGAGCACGCGGTTCACCTCCGGCGGAAGTCGGGTGTTTCCCTTGCGAAGGCTGACCGACATCGGGATTTTGGAGCAGCGAAGATCTACAAGGAGCGAATTTGGAAGAGGTCTGCTGCTACAGTTCTTCGGAACTGGAGATGGGCAGAGCAAGCAGCTGATGCGCCTTGCTACGGAAAATATCGATGTCGGTTTTTCTTCTCAATTTGTTGAGGGAACCGGAAACATATAGAGCTACCAATGGCGGTGGTGATGGAAGCTTGCAGATTAGGTTTTCCTCTTTTAACCGTTAGATCTACTGCCTTGATTTTTTTATTAAAAATTTTACTTTTTATTGGTTGTATATTCATTGTTTAAGCCTAGTTTAGTAATTTGAAAATATTTTGCTATATAGTAGTACAATGTCTTTCTAATCTATAAAAAGGATATTTATTTCAATATATTTTAGATGGGGAAATTTGAAAAATTACCATGGTTGTGGTATATGATTGGCATGATCGGTTTCTTACGCTTAAAACAAATGATGTGTTTTGGGGAATTTAATTAAAAAATAATGTTTATTTTTTTTTCTTGAATTTGAAAGTTTGATGTTTATGTTATTTGTTGTGTTCAACTATGAACATTTAGATTTTTATGTTATTTGGCGTTAAATGTTGTATTTAAATATGAATTTTTTCTTTTTGTTTGAAATATTTTATTTTATTTAAATATGAATGTAAATTTTAGAGACATTGTCTTTAAATATGCTATAAATATATGCCTCTCAACTCATGGTGTTAATGATTTTCCACTTTCCTACTAGCTTTGTTAAATCCGACATGAACTGACAATACCACCAATCGGACATACCACTTACCAAACCGACATAACGGTATATCAATTTGACAATCGTGCACCTGTACCACCTTTGTTTTTAACTCAAATTTTGAAGATATTGTACATGAGGAATAGATTCATTGTGATCCACAAACATACCACCTTATATCACCCTTGTATAGGACGGTGATGAAAGATGGTAAATGATAGTTAGTATATTTCAATTGGTCCTAGGCTATTCTCCACCTATATTAAAGTCAATTAATCTTATTCTCGCATTTCAGGTCCTAGCATGCGTGAAAAGGTCGGGGACGAGTTTCAGGACATTCGGAGGTCAAAAGAGCCAAAAAAGTGAAGATTTTGCATGGTTCACGGGCTGGGTGCATTGTTCACGTTTTGGGGGCTTGAAAATCATTCTAGGACCATGAAACACACACATTTCCAACAGTTTTAGTGCGTTTCGCGGGCATGGTCACACTTCATGCCCTTGGGGCGTAAAAATAACAATGAAACGGTGATATGTGCACAAAATGGCGCACTTTCAATCGACTTCACGGTTTCCCTATTGATGTCACAACCATGAAACCAGGCCGTGAAACATGCACTATCAAGGATATAAATAGGCAGCAACTATTTTGAGAGAGAGAGCTTGATTTTTCTTTAGGGTTCCGACCTAAAACACCTAAGAGGCATTTTAGAGAGAGAGAGAGAGAGAGAGAGAGAGAGAGAGAGAGAGAGGGATCTAGTGTGATCTTGGAGCTTAATTGGAGGCATTGCTTAGGCTTGGAGTTAAGGAATCAAGTCTAGAAGATGAACGATCTTGTTCTTCTTGTTGTAATCTCTCTTCTCTCTATGAACTAGACCTCTTCTCTTAGGTTGATGAATCCTAGTTCTAAATTTTGGTTTGATGTTGATGTATGTGACAAATCTTGTGTTTGATTGCTCATATTATCTATGTGATGGATGCTTATTGTGAATTGCATGAGTGTTGATTCCATTTCATGTCATTTGAGCTTTTGAACATGGAGTGAGAAAAATCACCTTTTGGCCCATTCTTGGCAAATAGGGTCACTCCTCAATCTATGTCATTATGGGTTAATCTACGAGGGAGTGAATTCAATTGAACTCCTAATATAGGATTTGGAGTATATCCCCCTAGGTTGATAGAGCGTCTTCAATCCATCACTATGGGTCTTTGATGCGAAAGCAACAAGAATCATAGTGTCGTATTGGGTAGTGACGTGAGGGTCTAGTCCAATTGTGGGAATTAGCGGTGAGCACCCCAATTTCCTTCGACGGTTGTTCGGTACACACTCTGGGTTGCGCAATTGGGCGGGGTTGGATGCACTCGAATATGGGGTTCAACCTAGTCTAGTAATCTTCGCGGTAGAGATATCGAGTCAAGTAGTCTAGGATAGTGCTCAACATCGATACAAATGATGGAACTAGGGGACTGAAGCTACGAGATCTCCCAAATTGCAATTAACAAGAGTAGTGGTCAGTGTAGTCTAGTTAGGTTAATTTCTTAATCACTATTCTAGGTTGGCCAGATAATGAAACTTAAGTCAAAGTAAGGTACATATAGTGACCCGTGATTCTATATTTTTATTACTTACTTAACCTAAGCTACACCGGATGTCGATTATACTTAGCCTTCGATTGGGAAGTTGTAGTTAGAGCGAGTTAGAGGGTCATCCAAAACAATATAATTTCTTCACTAATTCCTTCCCCCAATCCTGTACCAAGCTTTGAGAAAGGCGGAAAAATCCTAAGAATTTATATTTTCCTTCTCCTTTATCACTCCCTCCCTCCCTCCCTCTAGATGGTGGATCACTGCTGGACGGCGATACGTAACACAACAGTTGATCGAGCGTGATACTAGACGGCGAGACGTAACACAGGCCATTGCCGAGTTGGGTATGCATCCAGACGGCGAGACATAACGCGGTTGGCATACCATGGTAGGGACACAGACAGCAAGACGTAACGCGGTAGAATCTAGTGATAAGTAGATAAGTTAAGATAGAAGTAGAGAACTTCTACAAGCTATTAAGGACTAAAGTATTGAGGATGAAAGCGAGAACGACCTTCATCTAAGGAAAGGAAATGCTAATAACGTGTGTTAGTAAGGATTTTCTTAGGCAAAGACCTTAGGAAGTAACAACGAGACTGATCCCTTCTCACTCACCAGGTTGAGGAAGGGTTAACGGACGTGGTTTTCGAGTAGAGGCAGGAAGAGGCGAGCAGCCGTACTAGCATGGACAAGGTCTCAGGGAGCTCGTGAGGAGTCAGAGTTGGAATAATTTATTATTTTTTCTCATGGTTGAATATGTACTGGAGGTTCATGGTTTTAGTTGTTAAGAATGTTTTTGAATTGTGATTTGCCCAAGTGTTAGGGTTTTTTGTTTGAGATTCTTAGATATTGTTAGTTGGCTTTTAAATGTGGTTTGGGTTGCTCCGGAGTAACCGGTTTTTGGTTTCAAAAGGTTTTAGGTTGTTTTATTTTGGTATCAGAGCCGACATTCCTCCGTCATTGGTCTCCTAGGAATATTAGAGTGACGATCTGAGATTTCCAAGGCTTATGTTTTTAAAAGAAAGGAAAAAAGAGTTTCAGGGTAAATGTTTAGTCAAACGAGTCAAAAGTTTCTTTTGAGAATTTTTAGAATCTATATATTCTAATCATGATTAGGAAAATAACTCTATTAGGCCAGCATGACTATGATACGTCTCGGGAAGAAGACATAGCAGATTACTAAGAGGATCGTTTAGTGAAAACCATTTCATGAGTGAGAAGAGGAGGTCCAAGGCAACTCATATCCTATGGGGATGCGAGCTGATCATAATAATGTTCAGGATGATGCCAAGTATCTAGTATGTCGACAGGCAGTAGCCAAGGAGTTACGATAAATGGCAGTCATAATCTAGAGGAAAGGATGTAAGGAAGGTTGGTTGAGTTCACGATAAAAGAGTTTAGGGCTACGACCCAATTGTACACATTTTATCCCCGTTTTCCTTATACGTTGATGCATTTCTACTCCGTGAGGTGTGGTTTTACTCTAGGTTGCACTTTGTTTTAGTATGTTTCAGATCCTAGCAGGTGAAACTGACCCTGAAATCGAAAGTGGGACGAAAATGAGCAAAAACGAGTTAAAGGGTGGAAGCAACTGAGATTCACGATGGATGTTGAAAGTTCACGGTCTTATGTACCGTGAAAAGCAAGCCTAGAACGCGAAGCGCTGAAGTTCCAGAAGAAAAATGCGCACCTCACGGGAGTCCAACTAGTTCACGGTCGTAAGAAAGCCCCAAATCGTGAAGCGCCAAAAGTTCCAGAAGCAAATTGTGCACCTTACTGGATCCCAGGCAGTTCTCGATTGTAAGACCGTGAACCAAAGCCCCAGAACGTGAACATACTAAGTGAAGACGGTGCGGATTTGCTCGACATCATGGTCCAGGAAGGATGTTCACGGCCGTGAACTGGGACCGTAAACTAACTGCGACCTGCGTAAAAAAAGAGGGTTGAGCTAAAGGAAAGGGGGGGGGGGGAGAGACTTAGTGTGAGAAACCTCTTATTCTTCAACTTTCTAGAGAGAGAAATTGAGGAACAAAAGAAGAGAAGAGGTTAAGGTTTCAATTCCAAACAAGATTTTGGGAATTTCTTCCCCAAAGGAGGATCTCTACACCACAAGGAGCAAGGCTAGCATCTCCAAGATGGTTTTCCTTGTTCTCCCTTGTGTTTCCTCCTTGCCTGGCATGAAGTAGTTTTTTTTCACTTGGGTGTGTGTAAACCCTAGCTACAATTATGTGAATGTTTGTATGGATTGAATGATTAGTGTGTGGGTGTGTTTTAATACAAAGTTACGAGGTATTTTCATGAAGATTGATTGTGTTTATTCATTTCAATGTCTTATGGTTTTCTAACCTAGGTAGAGGGGAATCCCCTTTGATTAGAGGCTTGTAAAAGCTGGATTCTCTTGGGCAATCTTTGTCTCCTAGTTATATTAAATTAGGGCAAACCTCTTAATTTGTATTAGCACCTAGGGTTGGTTGTAATTTGGCCATCCGATCCATATTCGAGGGTGAAGTCTAGGCAACCCTTGTTTGATAGGTCAAGAGAGCTACTATGGTAGCTTGAATTGGATTCCCTTAACCTATTGACCGAGAGAGTGGCATTCGTTCACTAGTTTCACTTCCCAATGGTTTACAACTGCCTTTCCCACACCTATGAATTCGACCCGACAAGTCATGATTGTTAGCTAGGGGGAGCAACACGCGGGTGAAGCCTTCTCAATTAGTGTCCAGTCCATTTACTTTTCCAAACGTTTTAGTTATAGATCGTTGTTTTCACCAAAAACCAATTGCTAGATAATGTTTCAAACAATCGAAGTAGGGGTACATGGTCCGGCCCGGGTTGATATTTAAACATACTTGCCCTATATTGCACCCGGTTAAGGTTTATACTTGGGCCTTAATTGGAATTTTTATTGAGATATTCGGGACTAGTCAAGTTTTTGGAGCCGTTTCTGGGGAACTTCCGGTCCGTTATTTAGAAAAGTTTGTTTGGTGTTAATCTAGCTTTACTTTTTTGCGTGTGAATCTTGTTTGTGTTAGACAAGTTGTGTCTTTTGAGTGTGTGCAGGAGGGTGTATGACCCGCAGTAATCCGTCACCTTTAGCACCACTAGACGAAAATCTCAATTGTACTCTCCGAATCTTGGCTCGTGAGAGGGAATTGGCAGAAGCAAGAAGAAGGATAGAGGAGAAGGGACAACCACGGGCGTCGGATATTCAACCTACCATTTTACATACGCCCATGGCCGCCACAATTTCGAGATCAAGCCCGGCCTCGTCACAATGATACTAAACAATGTGCAATTCCATGGGCTTAGAGATGAGTCTCTAAGGGAGCACGTTCAGAGGTTTATTAAGATTGCGGGAAGTTTGAAGATCAATGGGGTGCCCGAAGATGCTTTGAAGTTGAGGATTTTCCCCTACTCTCTTGCGGGCAATGAACTCAGGTGGCTCAACAATAGATTACACGACTTGCTCAACAAGTTCATGACTGAGTATTGCCCACTTTCCAAGACGGCAGAGTGACGCAAGAAGATCACCCATTTTGAACAAGGGGATGATGAGACATTGAAGGATGCATGGGAGAGGTATTCTATGGCAGTATCCTCCAGGATGACAAGATCCTCATTGACTCTCTATGTCAAGGGAAATTGATGAACATGACTCCACCCCAGGTGACCCAAATGCTTGAAGACATGGCGACAAAAGGGTACGATTGGGGATTGACAAGAAGTGCTAGAAGGGATATTGAGATAGGAGTACGTTTGGTGGAAGCAAGTCCTCCGCTTGCGCTAAGATTGACCGGTTGATTGATGCTCTCCTTGAAGATAAGAAGCAAGGGAAGAAGTCGTTGATGGCTTGTGATTGGTGTTCGAGTACTAACCACGATATTTCGGAGTGCCAATTGATGAAGGAAGCAAGAACCCCTGATGAACAAGTGAGCTTCATCGCTAATGATAGGAACAACAATCCCTATAACAACACTTATAAGTCGGGGTGGCGAAACCATCCAAATTTCTCATGGTCTTTCCCAATTAATCTGAGACCCTCCGGTTTCCAAGGACTGATGGGGAATTATTAACCAAAGCCCCCTTTCATTCAAGAAATGCCGCAATTCCCAGGCTTGAACTTCCAACAACCATTCCGATTTCAAGGTGGTCAAGTGTTCCAACAACAACCCGATAAGTTTGAAAAGCTCTAAGGCCTAGTGACCACCTTTGTGAGCACGAGCACTCAAAAGTTCGAGAAGATTGAGAAATTTATGGATGTGGAAACAACAAAGTTTTCTTTGGTTGAGTCAGGATTGAGAAGCCACCAAGCGAGTCTTCAAAACTTGGAGACTCAAATCGGTAACCTTGCCGGGATCCTCACCGAGAGACCAAGGAGAGCCCTACCCTCCCAAATTATTGTCAATATCAAAGATCAAAATGTCAGTTGCAATGATATTCTTTCCCCACGAGGATGCACAAGGACTGATTGGAGGCGGAATGTGGTGGGTTCATGGAGATGCTCAAGAAGCTCTTCTTCACAATTCCGTTCTTGGAAGTGATGGCGCACATGCCAAGGTATGCCAAGTAACTCAAGGGGATTCTCGCCAAGAAGCCAAGATATGAAGACCTCGGCAATGTCACATTGGGCGAGGAGTGCTCAGCCTTCATTCTCACCAAGTTTCCCAAGAAGCAACAAGATCCAGGAGTTTCACTATACCTCTATGCATCTGAACACATCATATAGATAACTCCTTGGCGGACTTAGGAGCAAGCATTAATGTAATGCCTTACAAGCTTTTTAGGAAGGTGCATCTAGGTGAGCTAAAGTCAACTAGGCTTAGTGTCACACTGTATGATCGCTCTGCCATTAGTCCTAGGAGATATTGTGGAGGGCGTCCTAGTGAGAGTTGGCAAATTCTACTATCCGACGGATTTTGTTATCCTTGATATCAGTGAAGATGCGGATATGCCACTCATTCTAGGACGCCCCTTCTTTGCCACCGCCAAGGCCTTAATCGATGTTAATGAGGGCACTCTGATTTTGAGAGATGGAGAGGAGCAACTTACTCTATTAATATATCCTAAGGCTAAGAATGATGATGTGAAGGAAATGGACTCAAACGGTATGATTGAAAGTGGAGGTGAGCCTCTCAAGGCGAACCCCTCTATTACTTGTGTCCTTTGTGGTGATGTGAAGCAGGAAATTGAGAAGGGTATCAAACCCGAAGGAAGGAAGAAGAAAGTGTGGAGAGAAAGTATGAATCGCGTTTATACCCGAAAGAAGGATAAGGGTAAAGCGAAGGTAGTTTGCCAAGAGGGCCATCCTATGGAGCTTAAGTTGACAGGTGGCAAACCTCGCCCTGAGACCGTGGCGAATCCACTCTCGGAGGCTTCGTGCTCTCAAACATGATAGATCCACAATGTCAAGCTAGTGACGTTAACTTAGCTCTTGTTGGGAGGCAACCTAACGTCGATTTGTTTTCTTTTGTTTATTTTCTCTTTTTGTGATTGAGTGGATAGTTCAAGTGGATGATTGATTATCACCGTGCCAACATGTTGTGTCTGATTGTTTGGATTTTGAGTGTGTTTGAATTAGGGGCACAATTGATTAGGTCCAGTTTTGAAATTTTGGAAATGCCCTGTTTTCACTCATTTCACGGTTTTAGCCTCATTATCACGGTCTTAGCGACCATGATAATTGGGTGGAGACCGTGAATGAGGGAAATTCCAGAAATGTTTGAAACACACTATTTTGGCCCGAGATCATGGTCTGGGAGTTATGTTCACGAGCTTAGCGACAGTGAACAGACTCCTTCGTCCGTGAACCTTGGGCTCGGGCTATATAAGGGTGTGAACCCTTCTTCTTCATTTCACGCCGCCCCTCGCCGGAATCCACTGAAACTCGTCAGAAAATTGTGCCTCCTTGCTGTTTTTTTTTGTCTATTTTGGCGAATTTCGGTCACCCAAATTAAAATCCAAGCACAGACCCATAATCCCCACACCCGGGCGCACCTTTTCCAAAATTTTGAGTCGATTTGGCTCGAAATTTTTCTGGGGTGGGGGATTTCTGGCGAGACTCCGGCGAGCTCCACCGGGCTGTTTTTCGACCGATTTTCGACACCCTCGCCCTCTCCTCACCTCCCTCTTCGACCCTTCTTGCGTCTACATGTCTGTTTCAAACCTTTTCTTTGTCGTTTTTGTAGAATCGGGTTAGAGTTCTTAGGTGAGGAGAATTTTGGAAACTTTGCTTGCATGATGAAATAGGGTGAGGGAAATGTCGAATTAGGTTGATTGAATGTTGCATGAAGTGTTTGTTAAGTTAATTGAGCCTTGGTGGGAAAATTTTGGCATGATTTTTGGTTTGAATTGAGAAATTCCACCAAGTGTAGTATAATGGAAAATGACTTGTTACACTTGTGTATATGATGGTTGACAGCTATCGAGGCATGGTTTGGATTCGATATTTTATTTTGATGAACTATTAATCACTTAGAACCATGCCTTGATGAGCTTTGTACGTGATTGAGCTTGAATGTTGAAAAACCGATATCGTGAAAAGCCTTCAAAGGCATAGGACCTTAGTGGAATCTTAAGTGTGGGAGAATTCTTTTCTCCCCAATGACTTGAGAATGATGAATCTTTCCACGTATAGAGTATGTCTTTGATGTTTTGCAGGATGGTTGATGTGAATCACCATACCTCGAGTTGTTAACACGAGTACCACTCCTTGCGGGAGATTTGGAATTTGGGAGAAAGGCTCCAACAGGGGCACATTGGCGGCTCGATTTCGGTCAATTCCATGAGCTGAACAATGGAGATATCATGAGGTGGTCTATGGTGCACCCTCATTGGCGCCAGCTGCTGGAGATTGAAGACGATACTTACGCGGAGCTTTGTGTCGAGTTCTTTACCACTTTCTTCCTCCATCAAGGCAAAGATGTGATAGGACAGGATAATCCAGTTATTCAGTTTCGCCTGGGTGGATTGAAGCGTATAATGAGTTTTGTCGAGCTTGCCAAGCCATGGGAATTGAAGAAAGGTTTGGGACAGAGTTTGAGGTGGATGCCATACAAAGTTTTGATTTTCGGTCGGCTTTCAAGAGATTTTGCTTACCGAAGAACAGACAAACCCGGTTTGAACCCCCGCGCACCGCGCCAACCAAACTCATGACTCAATGGCGTGTCATCAACACTCTTCTTGCCCATTCCATCTTCCTGAGCTACATGTCTGCCAACAAGATTACCGAGAGAGCCCTCCTTGCCTTCACTTCCATGGCGGACCCAAATCATCGCCTCCACCTTGGTTCTCTCCTGTCAACATCCTTCAGCAAAGCTCAAGGAAGCCGTCAAAAACAAGATCATGTCATTGGGGCCCTACATCACATGATTTGCTCGACATTTTCATGTTAACCTCGAGTGTTGCATAAAAGATGGTCGCTCGTCGTGCTTCTGGGAGGACACCTTGGACTCCATGAACCGACTTAGAGTATTTGGATCATATCAATATATTGAGGGTCTTTGAAATCCACCAAGAGCTTCGAGCCGCCTTCGTGGTGCCGCACCATGATCATCATCATCATCCGAAGTTGGTTCCTCATCTAGAGTCCAGTTGGTGGACCGAGTCCCACACCCGGTGGAGCAGGTGACGGGGGTTAACACCTGGCTGGATCGCTCCACCAACCTTCTCGTCCGGATTGCCCGCAAGTAGGGTGTCCTACCAGATTACGAGGAGGAGGACTGACCCGGGACCAAAGAGAGGTAGTCGTCGAGTGAGACATGTGGCAGAGCCGATTACTTTCGCCCCACTTCTCCACCTGAAACCCTGAACTCTGTTCTTTTTCTTTTCTTCTGTGTGTGAACTAGTACATTTGTGAGTTTTTCTTCTTTTTATCGTGATGTGGAATATGGTTATGTGTAATAACCTCTCCTTGAGCGAGAAGGTGCTTGTGTTTTGTGTGTTTACTCCTCCTCTTGGGAAGCTCAAATCACCTACCCTGGAAACTGTCCCACTTTCACTCGCCAAGCTTTCCGGTAACATTGCTTTACCCCCTATTTTACGCCATTGAGGGCAAAGTCGAGCTTAAGTGTAACATCCCATTTCGGCTAAACCCATATTTTGATCGCTAGAAAGTTCGCGATTTAAAATCGAGCGTTTTAATAGTATTTCGGCGAAAATCGGATTATCGATCGATCGGATAAGTATACGTATTAATTATATATATATATATATTATATATAATTAATACGTATACTTATCCGATCGATCGATATTAACAAAGCGGCCGGACATATATAACTTCCCCCGTCCATTAATTATCATCATCAACATCATTTTTTCTCATTTCCATCCGCGAGAGAAACAGAGGAACAGAGAGCGTACAGGGGAGCTCGGGTAGAATTTCCAAATCTCCAATCTTGAGCCCTAGTGATCCAAAAATCCCGTAAGTAATGCCTAATTCATCTATACATCGTGTTTTATCGATTTAGAGCTTTAAAACGAGTTTTTGGTTCAGGAATTTCTTGAATTCCCGATCAGCCAAATTAGGGTTTCGGAGTATCCGGAAGCCGGATTGAGCCCAAATTTCATATACGAGCTTCCTGCAGCGAGGTAATCAATCCTCTAGTTCTAATTCCTGAATTTCGGCTATTATTTAGGCCGGGGTCCAAACCGCTGAATTTAGCTCCGGCCAGGGTTTGATGTGTTTTTATCGAGAATTTGACCCGGAGCCTAGAACTAATATTGACGGGGATACTGCAGGGGATATTAGGACGGTCTCGGATTTTAATTCGGGGTTCATTCCTGAAATTGACGTTTTGGTACGGGAAGGTTAAACCGGTGTTTGAACGACCAGAACTGGTGAGGGATTAGCACGGCATACCGGGTTTGTCGTATCACGTTAATTATATTAATGCTTAGAATTGACCTAGGTGAACTAGAATGGCATGATTAGGGGTGTATGGACTTTTGTGCTATATGATAAACCCTGGACTGTTGTATGATATTATTGACTTGCCCTAATCGATATGAACCTTGTTTATGTGGATGATTGCATACATGTTGTCATTTGTGGCTTAACTATTGATATGACTTCATGGTTGTTCGATAAGGGGTTTTGACATGGTGTGATATTATGATTGTATTTGGATCCATAAGTGGGGGAATAAACTTCCCAGGGTGATATTATGATGTTTTAAGGAGGATGACTTGCACGAGGGTTTATCCCGAGGAAGTGCAATTATATGACTCCTGATCTACCTATGTTGAGCCAATTATGGCCACGTCAAGTACATGTGTAAGTAATGAATTATGGTTAAGCAAGATGAGATATGAATCATGTACAAGGATACCAAATATGAGTGTTGTGGTCTCACGGTCAATTACGTAGTAATTAGGGCTCCCTATGCTATTACTCTATTATGATATGTATGATAGTCACACCTCTCATGTGGTGGTGACTGAAGAATTCTTATGAGATATGACCACACCCAGAGCGGTGTCGGGGTATGACTACACCCATAGTGGTGTGGGGTATGTATGACCACATCCGACGGGATGTTGGGGTATGTATGACTACATCCGACGGGATGTGGGGTATGTTTCCCGGGAGAGTTATTAGCATGGGAGTAGCCAGGCGCCTATGATTAAAACATGATAAGATGCATATGCATAAGTCAAGGTGGTTGAGTCTTTTGCCTATTGGGATATGAGGATGGCTGAGGTCCGATCCTAGTGTTTTGGTTTGATTGTTAGATGTATGATAGGGGTATGCTCTGTTATGAACTCACGATGCTATGATTATCTCACTCAGCTATGAGCTGACCCTCTTTTATTCTTCTTCTCTGCTTATGCTATGTGTAAGCAGATCATCAGCAGCAGCAGTAGATAAGTGTTAGGTGGGAGAGGAGCTAGAGTTGAAGACAGGATGAGGTATGGTCTTCAACTATTCTGTGCTTGGACTACTACTCGGGATTTTGGCCAGTGATCCACACCTTTTTGTAAAAATGTTTTGAGAACATTTTCATGTGCATACTAGCTTCGAATGTAGTGTGAGATATCCACAGGTGTGGAAAGTTAATGATAGGTGTATATGTTGTGTAACTGTGTAAGTTGTGACGATTATGGTATGTATAAGTATGGTATGCAGTTAGGAAGTATGAAAAGTGTGACTATGGCTAAGAAAAGCCAATGCATATGGTTGTGAGTATATATGTTTGTGATGAATTATTTTGCAGGTTAAGTTGCAAGAACTGTTAGCCCATTACGCGAGTAATTCATGTCGAAATTTTATTTAGGTAAATTTTGATAATTAACGTAACACCCGAGATAAATTCCGCTGCAATTGTATGAACAATATGATTAGGCAAAACGTATAGGGTAGGGTGTTACAGTTTGGTATCAGAGCCCGGTTCCCTCTTTTTGTTGTTATGGCGTACTATACCCTATGGGAGGTTAAACACTCCTAAGGAGGGGAGTGCCCCATAATGACTTAAACTGGGAATTGAGTTTGACATGATTATGTGTATTGGTATATTGGATGAAATTATCTGCATCATGGTTTTCAAAATTGAGTTTTGAATGTATTTGTTTTCAAGTAATTATTTAGGGAAAATTTTGTTTTAACCAAGTGAGAGATTTGGTGAAGAATGAATTTTGTGTGGATCAATCTAAGGCCAATATTTCCTTGTAGCTCGCACGGAAGTTGTGAAAATGTTCCTACTGACCAGTCGAGAGGAGTGGGGGCGGTTGATGCAAGACCGCCAGTATTAGATTATGCAAAGATGAAGAGTTTGGGTGGTAGGGACTTTAAGGGAGATGTGAGCCCAGATGCTGTAGTAGAGTGGTTGAGAGAGATGGAAGATGTGTTTGAATATCTTTATGCAACCCCAGAGGAAAAAGTACAATATGTTGTTTTTCTCCTAAAGGGGTACGCGAGGAGCTGGTGGTCTTCAGTCTCTAGAGTTAATGGTGAACGAGTTCAGTTCACCT